GGATATCAACAAATTTGACCCTCTGACCTAGACCTTGGAGTTTGACCTACTTTTTTGTTTTTAATTTAACCTTGGCCATAACTTTTGAACAGTAAGGGCTAGAGCTTTCATACTTCACATATGTTATCCTTGTGTCAAGACCTTTCGTTGGATATCAACACCTTTAACCCTTTGGCCTTGACCTTGGAGTTTGATCTACATTTACAAACTTTAGCCTTGGTCATAACTTTTGCACGGTAAGGGCCAGCGCTTTCATACTTCCGACGTGTAATTTTTGAGACAAGGCCTTTGTTTAGAAACCAACAATATTGACCCTTTGACCTTGACCCCGGAGTTTGTCCTACCTTTAAAAATGTTAACTTTTTTCATAACCTTTGAACAGGTGATGCTTGGGTTTTATATTTTTTCACATTTGTATTTCTTGTAAACAGGCCATACTTAATGTACCAACATATTTGATCTGCATTAGAGAAAGCTTAATCTTCGCTATGTTGCCATAAGGCCATGATACGGGGCCATCATTGTTTCACAAACACAATTATTTTTGTCCCCAGCTTTCGCAAAAGCGAGGGGAAATTAAATCTCATTCGTCTGTCCGTCAGTCTGTCCGTCCGCCTCAAAAACTTTAACCTTGCCCATAACTTTTGATTTAGTGGAGCTATGGCTTTCATATTTCACATGTATATTCCTTGTGATAAGACCTATCTTTGGGTACCACCAAATTTGACCTTTTGACCTTGACCTTGGAGTTTGACCAACTTTTACACAAACATTCCAAATTTTTACTTTGGCCATAACTTTTGAATGGTAGATACTAGGACTTTCAAATTTCACAAATACTACGGTATATTTTTTTGTGAAAAGACCTTTCACTAGATACCATCAATTTTGACCTTTTGACCTTGAACTTTGAGATTTCCGTAATTATGTAAAAACTTTAACCTTGATCCTAACTTTTGAATGGTAAAGGCTAGGGCTTTCATACTTCATATATGTAATTCTTGTGATCAAGAAGAACTTTCATTTGATAGCAAGAACTTTGACCCTTTGACCTTGACCTTGGAGTTAGACCTACTTTTCAAAAACATTGACCTTGGCCACAACTTTTGAACAGTAGATATTAGGACTTTCATATTTCAAATACATATTCTTTGTGGCAAGACCTTTCATTTGATATCAACAACCTTGACCTTTTGACCTTGACCTTGGATATTTTTTGAACTTATGAAAAAACTTTAACCTTTACCATAACTTTTGAATGGTAAGGGCTAGGGACTTCATACTTCAAATATGCAATCCTTTTGAATTAGACTTTTCATTGGATACCAAGAACTTTAACCCTTTGACCTTGACCTTGGAGTTCAGTGATGATTTCTAAATAAATGACATATCATATGATAGGGTGTTTATATTACACACAATATTTCATTATAAAATGACATCTCACCCACAAAGATACCGAAAGCGGGGGACCACAATTCCTTGAATTTGCTTGTTATCTCAAAATCTTCACCTTGAATTTAGATTTGCATTTGAGAAACTTTAAACTTCGCCATGAATATATATTAGCTCCATACGGGAGAATCAGAACTTGTTATTTTATGAATCGGTCTAGACCTAAATCAGAGACATATAAGAGAGGGGTGTGTGTCTGTCTAAATCTAGTAATTGCAAACTTGTGATATCTGTAGGTCTACTGCACTGAGGTATTAAACATCGGAAAAACGAGTCGGAGACTGATTTGAGAAGTTTATCAGTAGAATTTTTCCTAATTGTGATTATTTATAGGCTATCAAATTTTGATATCATTATGCCGATAGCTAAATGCCCCATTTGACAGTCGCGCCGTTAATGCTTTCGACAGAAAGAAGTACGAGTTAACTAACTTCTTAAGCGTAACACCCGTACGACTTACTTAATAATTTTCTTATCTCCGTTAATCAGTATGAGTTTCTGATTATTTCTTATTTGAATTAATAATATGTGAAATCACAAGAAATCTGTGTAGAAATGGCTGGGAGTATTCACGAAGGCCCCGAGTTTGGGGTCGGGGACTTTGTTTTGCTGCATGATTTAACGCTTGATGCGTTTATGGAAAATTTAAAACTGCGGTAAGTATTTTCGTAAACACCGAATATTCATTTTCATTTTCGCCGACGAGGTGCAGAAATTTCATTTTATTTGCAAATATACATGTGCCGGCTCAAGGAACACATGTGTTTTACGGCATTTCATTCATGAGAACAAATCTGTTGACAGAAGTTGAAGGTATTTAACCACGCCTAGTGGCCTTGTATCGGGTTACACTAACAGATCATTGTAAAGGTCTTGCGAACATGATGAACCGGTACCCATTGTGAACCTGCATTCTTACATATGTGGTTTGTTTTAATTAAATTGAACTAAACACAGTGTTCCAATGAAAAAAATTTCATTTCCCCCTTTTTTCGAAAAAGTAAGGTTGTGTATACGTGTATAAAATGTCTTTTTTTTGTTTTGATCCGTCAAACAATTAAAAATAAAAAATTAAATTAAAATTCCATATTTTCATGTCAAAGCAAGTGCATGGATTAAAAAAAAAACTTAATTCATATCATATCTTCTTTTTTCCAATTACACATTACATTATTTACTTAAAACATGTAAAAATGAAGAAAAATGATTATATATTACTCATGTGTTATTACTAATGAATAAAGACTAATCAACATGATTTTTCCGATGTTTCCTTTAACATATTTCCCGTAAAAACACTGGTTTAATTATACCCACTTCGTTCTTAAACCCACAACTTCCGCTCTAAATAAACATGAATAACATAGGAATAAGTACCACGCCAATACTGTATGCTTTCGTGTACATGTACATATTGACAAAGTGTGACTTTATTGAGGTCATCATGGTGTGTAACAGACATTTATTTTCTATCATTGATTGATGATCAGGTGGAATGCCTGGTTTACCATGTTTACCTGAGTAACTGAGTATCTATACTCTACTTAATAGACAATAATTCTACCATGCTTCATAGTCCTGTATGAAATATAGAATGAGCATTGAAAAAATTATGATATGTGCATGTCTTTCTATATGTCAATTAAATTTATTTTACACCGCATATACTAGATCCAAAAAACAAACCCATATTTTCTTCCTGAAACCATGAATAGTTGACCCCACGAAAATATATATGATTCTGAGAAACACTTGCAAGAGTACCCTATTTGAAAAAAAATATTTCATTGGTTATTAAGATATCATACATACATTATTCTCATCTGCAAAATTTCTGTTTCAAGACCATGACGATGAGTATAAGACCATGAAGACTAGTATTGTTCTTAATTTCAAGAACTTGTCAAAATTACACATGCTTGTCGCCATACAGGGGTTCAAAATGTGTTAAGTTCGATATTTTCATATTACATGTGTAAGTTCACCGTTGAAAAATAATGCCAGTAATTTGGAAGTATAGGCACAAACTCGTTAACTAGAAATGCTGATCCAAAAGATATACCATGGTACTTAACTTCCCTGAACATGCTGATAAAGGAACTGGATTAACTTAAATATGATTTGAAATTTCAATCAATGAACTTTTTTTTGAATTTCTATAAATGTGTTAGTGATGAGCAACAGTGCTTTATATTACATGTCTACATATGAAAATAGCTGCAACTCTCTGCATGCTTATTCATCTTACAAGTTTACACATTCATGTATAAGCCTCTCCGAAGTGCGTATACTTAATATCTATTACTAACGGGAAGTTCTAGAGAAAAGTCAAGTGCACTTAATGTACGTAATCCAACATAACAATGGGGACTTACATCCTATTACCCTTTTGCCTTGATAAACTTTTGACTCGTTTGAGGGGGGAAGAGTTTCTTGAAATTGTAAAATGTTTGATGTTAATTATCATGATTCTGAAATGCATTAATTTTTTGGTAATTTGCATTTACAGTGATTTCAGAAATTATGAAATTTATATTTATACTTAAGAGTTGCAGGAATGTTGCACTCATGCATGGTGATAAGAGTACATGTAATATATTTAGACAGTAACCATATACACAAGACATTTTGTACTATTGTATGTAAACATGATTAAAGATAGAACAACATGACAAGGTAAAAAAAATCACAAAAAAACCACATTGTACATAGTGCAGCCATGCTTTTCCTGAGTGTTTTAGTAGATATAAATAGCCAGGAATGGGGAAATTTACGGCATAACCTACATCAGAGTTCACGTGTTGATAAGAAAAATACAACACTTTTTGTAACTGTTTGTAGCACTCATATTGTGTTGATGAAGGACGTTCATTGCCTTGTGTATGTTTTTAACATGTTTAAACTTAAAGAATATACAGTGACTCTTATTTGCCCTGGTGTGCATTGGAAGTATTTAACTTCTAAAGAAAATTCAGGATTTCAAAAAAATACTGCAACCGTCATTTTTTTTTATGTGTTAATGCATCATGCATTAGAAATATCACTGACCATGCTGACAGTGTGTGTGCATGCATGTATATATGTATACATTTGTTGCATAGAATGTATGTATATGTTTCAACATCAGCCCTTTAAAACACAGAAAACATCAATTGCACATAGCAGCTGCAATTGTTACAGGCATGAAAATGCATAAGCAACGTATAAACACCATAAAACATGCGAAAACATACATCTTTATATGACCATTACACCTATAATAAGCCATTTGTTCATTCAAGAGTTGATATTGCCCATTTGGTAGCCCCCATTTCCTAATTGTTTTCCGACACATTACATATCAGATAGATCAATACTGCCTGTCTATCGCTGTCTTTACGATACACCTGGGGCACACCAGTAACGAGATGTGTATTGGACCAACCTATTTCTGGCCTGGCCAGTAACTGTTTGCGGTCTCTGTTATATTTACCTGATTTTATCTACCTTAACATAAATATAGTCTACGGCTGATCACACCTTTGCACACCTGATTCGATCATTCCTGAAGGCATGCAGCTTTGTGGATTAATCAATATGAGATTGAATGTTTTTTTTTTTCTGGGAATCTCTAGAAATGCTCTCTCTCTCTCTCAAAGGGTTCACGATGCTTACATTTATATCATAGACTTCATTAACATGTATAAGAAAAAATTGAACCCTATGGCTTTTCAGAATGTTGTTTAAAAAATATAATATTGAACATACATATAGGTGACATTGTAAATATACCTGTAAATGCAGGTATCTGCACTGATGAAACTCAAAAGCTACAAGAAATGTAATAGGGAACTAATGCTTCTACGTCAACATCATCCAATTTTTTGACAGCAAATAGAAAGGAAGGGAGGCAAAAACCTTTTATCGTTTATAAATAGTAACAGTGTACGAAATTCCCGTCCGCCCGCACGCCCGAGACGTACTAAATCGGGAGCGGACGTATAAGTTTTACTCCGCATCAGCCCGCTCGGGCGCACTAATTTTACCCTATTCCCTCCAATTTTTTTTATTGCAGATTAATGTTTTGGGAAGGTAAAGACCAAATATTTCAACGTTAATACAAGCCATAATTCCCTCAGACAGCTAAAAATTAAAAAACTAATCAATAAATCTGTAAAGATATGTAGAAAACCACAATCGGCTTTTAATCTGAATTTCCTCTGTTTTCACCCATGAAACGATATTTTCTACTCCCCACTGGTTTATTGAGCATTTTTTTTTAAACTTACAGGATCAGAAAGATATCAAACACATTCACAAGTGTTAAATTAAAAGAATCTTTGTATAATGTTCATGTCGTATATTCTAGACCAATAAATTATTCAACACTGACAATATCATGAATATGAACTTTCACCCAAGGTAGCATGCTGAGTTTTTATTCATTGGTTGTTTCAAGCAATTTTTATTTTTTGATTAAATCAAGGATAAACTTAGGTAAAATTGAATAATATTATACAATATTTTCACCTTTTAATAATTTTATGTACTGATCAATAATTAAATAGAAATAATTATATATTCAAATTCTTTTAACATATAAGTTTAATATTATAATTATGTTAAGTGTTAAAAATTGCTCTTAAGTACCAAAATTTAAGCAAATATTTTTTTTCTTTTCAATTAAATCAAGCAGACTCATTTCATCAAAAATGTGTGTGAATATATACCTATAACGTTGACATTATTAAATATTTAATTATCATGGTCATAAATGTAAAAAAAAAAAAAAAAAATGGAAGAAAAAACGACAGTATTTAATGTTTTATTTTTCCTAACTTCATATTGAAAGTAATCAAAAGAAAAAAAAATAATCTTAATATTTACTGTGCAAGAAATTCAATTAGATTTGAAAAAAAAATGTACAAGTTTGAGTGTGTGTACTCTGAAGTTTATATTGATTTTTATTATGCGGGCATGCTAATTTTCAGCAGGGCTGACAGACTTTTTGAGTAGTCAGCCCTCCTGGTCCACCTGAATTTTTTCCGAGTTTCGTACACTGATAGTAATGATCACAAAAAAATTTTCATTTAAATAGATATGTTAATTAAGGAAGAAAAGCGGGCTTAAGTTAACATGAAGAAGGACAAAATGTCCATCTTTTTCATTAGTGTAGGCTAATGGGATCTATTGCAAATAAAGAAAAAACACAGCATTGGTTGCTATCAAAAGCAGGAAGTATAGGTATACCTAGTATGTAAAACCAGAAATAGAAAGATTGTTACAATTCTAAGCTAGGTAGCAAACTACAAGCACGTGTTCGTAGATAAAGTCTACAAAGTAAAGAGTTTATGTGACAAAGAATCGAGGCCCTGAGGGCCTGACTCACATGAGGCGGGGGTTACAATGTTTATTGACGTCTTAAGTATGTGAAGGCAAATTTCCTCCCCCTTCTCAAATAAAATCCTGGCTTTTATCTGTCTGCTCCATGCATGTATTCTGTTAACATAGTTAAAGGAATTTTACGAGTTCGTGAATTCACTCTTGATTCAGAAGTTCATGTGATCTTCTAGTTAATTATACCTGTATACTGAAGTAAATTTAAAACCCTAAAATTAATTATCTTCCTTTTAGCTTTTTTTAGGTGAACTTAAAAAATGTGAAAAATGTATTTGACCATATCAACCATGCCAACTATTTGTTTTTAAAAATGAAATTGTGTTGAAAGCATGATGTAAGGTCTCATGTAACGTATATAAGGATGCATCTTACACACTGATAATATTTCAAGAAATTAAAAAACAAGTACATGTAGAACTGTTAGATTTGCTTATATACTCAAAAATTCAGCATGCATTTATAGTTTATCATTCCTAGGGAATTCAATTAGACAGATAATTTTATTAGTCTACGTATTTTTTGTACTGCAGATGTACAACATTCAACTTTTTTATTTTCAGATACAGTAAAAATAAAATCTACACATACATAGGAGAGGTGGTGGTTTCGGTGAACCCATATAAGACTGTGGACATATACAACCCCAATTATGTCGACGAATACAAAGGGAGGGAAATTTACGAGAGGCCGCCCCACATTTTTGCCTTGGCAGACTCTGCGTACAAAACCATGAAGAGACAGAGCAGAGACACATGTATAGTCATATCAGGTGCAGTATTGCTGAGTTAATATTATAGGTGGTGTAGGGCCAACAGACAGCAAAAAAAAAAATGATTTGCTTGATGCATTCCAGTCAATTTGTCAAATCTGCCCTTCTCTGATCAATTTTCCCTTTGAAGTCTGGATGTGCATTTAAGTTGAATGGAGAGAAATTCCTAATCCTACTTCGAACAAAGAATGTGTATGACCTGACGGTTAATGGTCATGACCTTGACACAAGATCATTTGTTTGAAGTTCAAGGTCACTTAAAAATTTTTTTATTCCTAGCTGTTCTTGCCATGTCTTTAAATGGAGAACATTATGGTTTATACTAATCCCAAAATTGGCCAATCAGGACCCTTCAGGTTTGTTTCCAGTAGGAAATTTCAATGTTTTTCCTGAAAGAAGTTCCAAACATGACAAAGATTTAAGACTTTTTGCTGCCAGGAACCTTGACATCGAGTCAAGATCATGACACACCCTCAGGCCATATGCAACAGAACTTGAACACTTTTTCTCTCAGTGTCCTTGAAGTTTCCAAAATGACCCTGGGTTAGATCAAGATGCACTCTTATGTCATCATCATTCTTTATGAGAAGAATTGGCTTCAAGTTGGCTTCCAATGAAAAGTTACAGACATGAACCAAAAAATACTTTTGGCAAGTGACCTAACTTGCTGGATTGATCATGGGTCAATACATACCCTCAAGGTCAATTTTTGAAATTACAAGGTCACTGAGGGAAAAGTGATAAAGTTATATTCTGTCCGTAACTTTTTTATTCTCATAAACATTGGAAGTTTATGTATAACCTTCATGTAAATTTTTTTGAAATTCGAAACATATGCATGATCAATGAGGGACAAAGAATGATTAAATTAACAATGCTTTTGCGAAGATCATGTGCCATGTACATCATGGATGTTTATGATCCCTCAAAAAAAGATGTGCATGTAATATCATCTATATGCTAAAGACTGAAACATGGTGACATTAATCACCAATAATTCCCTGTTAGCATTTGTTAATACACAAGAGAAGGTTTTTTTCTCAAGAAAATACTGTGAAACCTGTCGAATCCGACAAGCACAGGGAGACAAATTTTGTGTCGGAATAGTCAGTGTGCCGGATTGCAAAGTTTAAAAATAACGTTAAAATTAGTAAAACGTGTAAAATGGGAAAACAAATTTATGTTGGAATTCACAGTGTGACAGGTGACACAGGTGTCGGATTAGACAGTTTTTACTGTATTATCAATCTGGGTTATGCTATTGGCCGTATTGGGTGCATGTATTTTGAGAAGGTACATCTATATATATATTATATTTTAATTTACATATATTTTGAACAGAGGATATTGATCATAATCAATACCTCCTTCCTCTCCATTGCGCTTTTTAAATTCCTGCTTGCTCTCAAATTGCAACAGGTTATGTGATATACATAAGTGTTATGTATAGACTCATTGTTCAAGCATTCTCTTATTTCCTTGTGATTCAATGTGTTAAATGCACTAAATATAACATTACCTTGGAGTTGCCAGCACTGAATTTGCTGATCAGCTTAAAGAGAGATTGTAAAGCTATCTCTGATTGGTAGATGTAACAAGGCACAGCTTCAAAAGTAGAATTTTTAAAGACAGCATAAAAATTTACCATGTCTAGCATGTTAAAATGTTACATTTTTGCATAATAATTGATACATCTTTGTCTGGAGGTTGTAAAATGTATAAAATAATGTTTTAATTTCTGAAATTAGATCAAAGATGAAAAATATTACTCAACAATACATGCACATCTACAAAATGAAAATTAAAAAAAAACAATATTGTTTCCTCTAACATGAAAATATTAGTCTTGTTTTCCTGATACCCGACCTGCTCTATCTTTTTGCACCCGACCCTAAAGTTTTTATTTAGTTTTGGGGGGAAAATTGGAAATTTCATGATTCAAAAGTGAAAAAAAATATATATATTCAAGTGGTATTTCATGAAACATAAGTATTAAATATGGACTTGAATTCATAAAACACTACTTGAGTTGTGCATCAAAAGATATGGAATTAAATTTTAAACAATAAAATTGACCTATGACATGTTTAATATGGTTTTGTAATAGTTCATATCCAACAAATAACATTGGAAAAAAATAAAATTAAATTAAAAAAAATAATAATTTTCCTACCTACCTACCCTTTTCAGGCTGGTAGCATGAAACAAGACTATTATTTTTTTTGGCCTTAATAGTTTGTTGATTCAATTGAAACTCTTCTATGAGCATGATGAAAAATTCAAATTATCTGCTGCTCTATAAATCCTCTCTCATTAACATAATTAAGCCAGCTTTCAATATCTAGAAATAATTTAATTCTGGTTGTAACACTGTATTTGATTGGATAAAAAATTTACTTTATATTGTATAAAATGGGTTGCCTACGTCACAATGACTTACGTCAAAAACGTATCAACCCGCCTGACGTTACATTCAAATTTGTACAAATTGAAGTCATTTTGTTAGAACAATCATCTTTTTAGCTCACCTGAGCCGAAGGCTCAAGTGAGCTTTTCTGATCACATTTCGTCCGGCGTCCGTTTGTCTGTCCGTAAACTTTTCACATTTTCGACTTCTTCTCAAGAACCGCTGGGCCAATTTCGACCAAACTTGCCACAAAGCATCCTTGGGTGAAGGGGATTCAAGTTTGTTCAAATAAAGGGCCATGCCCTTATTCAAGGGGAGATAATTGAGAATTAGTGAAAATTTGGTGGTATGTTTTAAAAATCTTCTTCTTAAGAACCACTGTGCCAGGAAAGTTGAAACTTATGGGGAAACATCCTCAGATAGTGTAGATTCAAGTTTGTTCAAATCATGACCCCCGGGGGTAGGGCGGGGCCACAATGGCCGACCAAAGTTTTACATAGAAACATATAGGAAAATTCTTTAAAAATCTTCTTCTCAAGAACAGCAAAGCCATAATTGCTCATATTTATATGGAAGCATCCCCAGGTAGTGTAAATTCAAATTTGTTAAAATCATGACCCCCGGGGGTAGGGCAGGGCCACAATGGCCGACCAAAGTTTTATATAGAAATATATTGGAAAATTCTTTAAAAATCTTCTTCTTAAGAACAGCAAAGCCAGAATTGCTCATATTATATGGAAGCATCCCCAGGTAGTGTAGATTCAAGTTTGTTCAAATCATGACCCCTGGGGGTAGGGCGGGGCCACAATGGCCGACCAAAGTTTTATATAGAAATATATAGGAAAATTCTGTAAAAATCTTCTTCTCAAGAATAGCAAAGCCATAATTGCTCATATTTATATGGAAGCATCCTCAGGTAGTGTAGATTCAAGTTTGTTCAAATCATGACCCCCGGGGGTAGGGCAGGGCCAAACTTTTGGATTCAAACTTTTCAATAGTAAACCAATTACTACTTTTTCCTAGCCACAATGCTCGGCTGATAGCGATGTGGCCCATGGGCCTCTTGTTTAGCTCTTCTGAGCCAAAGGCTCAAAGAGCTAATGCTATGGCCATTTGTGCGGTGTGCGTAAACTTTTTAGAATATGGGCCATAACTCAAGAACCCCTTGGTCAATCAGTACCAAATTTGTCACAGGGTATCCTTGGCCCAAGGGCTACCATTTATACTAAAATAAGGGTTGGGACCCTTAAACAAGGGGAGATAATCAGGAAAACAAAACCAAAAGTACTGGTTGCTAAAAAATCTTCTTCTCCATAACCACCAGGCAGATTTTCACCAAACTTACATACAAGGATCAGGATATGTCGAAGATTAAAATTTGCACGGGGAATTACCCTGGGGCAAAGGGCGTGGTCTCAAGGTCACTTCAAAGTTGACCTAAATTTACAATTAATAAAAACGTGTATATTTTGCTTACTATAAGGACTAGGATCATCAATTCTTGTAAGTTGATGCATCTTACGACTTCACATCATGTTAACTCAAAAGTAGGTCATGGTGACCTACTTTTTAAATTTTGCGGGGATTTGTTTTTAAATTGATTTGAAGGCATATTTTGGACACTTTAAGGCCTATGATCATCAAACTTTGTCAGTTGATGCATCTTGGGTCCTCAAACAATGTCAACTTAAAAGTAGGTCACCTTGACCTACTTTTTGAACTTTATGACTTATCCTTTAAAAAACATTAAATCCCATTATTTCAGACACTGGGAGGTTTAGAATCATCAAATCTTGTACTTTGATGCATCTTGGGACCTTAAAACATATTTATGAAAAAGTAGGTCACTGACCTACTTTTTGAATTTTGCCGACATTTGTTTTCAAATTGTTTAAAATGCATATTTTGATTACCTTCAGACCTACGATCATCAAACTTGGTCAGTAGATGCATCTTGGGTCTTTGAAAAATGTCAACCAAAATGTAGGTCACGATGACCTACTTTCGACATTTTATGGCTATATTTAAGTATCTTAGGTATTTATTGCCTTAGAATCATCAAACTTCGTGAGTCCATGCATATTTGGTTGTCGGAGAGTGACGACCTAAAAGTAGGTCACGGTGACCTACTTTTGACATTTTATGGCTTTATTTAAGTACAGTTAATTCTCGATAAACCGCCACCTTTTGTTATTTAGAAATCATGGCGGTATAACGAATTTGGCGATGAATTGAATTTCCCATCTTTTAGAAAACAAGTAGAGTTACCGTTCTTAGAAATACCATTTAGCGTTTCTATTCTTAATAATACATATACATGTATATAAAAACATATTTCTGGTTGAAAATACTTCAAGTAATTTTTTTTAATGTACAATTTCGCTAAAATAAAATGTGCAGTTATGAAATAAAAACAAGTACATGTGTATGCATGTAAATCTGCACGCCTGATATTGAAAAAAAACATGCTGGGTCGACCGTCGTGATATATTGCCGATAGTATGTAAAATGCATTCTTGAATAAATTCACTGTTTATGGCATTATTGTGAAACGTTCACATTTTATACCGTATAATTATTTTTTCAGCAAACTTTGCATTGTTAAAAGTAGAGATCATCAAAATATTATCGTTATCGGCGTACTTTAACCACGACCGCTTTCGTGGCGAAACCGTGACTAAATATTTTTATTAAACAGAAAACAAAATTATTATAATAGTTCATGTTAAAATTATTGTTTATTTTGTTCTTACTTAATTACTTAATTGCATGTACCTTGTCTGCCTTTGCATGCTTTACAACAGGGATAGTGTCAACCAATTAGCCGCGCTTCCCTGACCACATGCACCTGTGGCGGTATATCGAGATAATTGACACTTAAAAATGGACGTTTGTTGTGAAAACAGGGTGGCGGATGGCGGTATGTGAATTTGGCGTTATAAAGAGAATTTTATATAGCAGGAAAAACGTTCTTGGGAAATCATGGCGGTATAGCGAAAATGGCGATGAATCGAATGGCGATAATTCGAGAATTGACTGTATCTCCGGTACTTATTGGCTTAGAATCATCAAACTTTGTCAGTTGATGCATCTTGGGTTTTCGGAGAGTGATGACCAAAAAGTAGGTCATGGTGACCTACTTTTGACATTTTGTGACTATAATTAAGTATCTCTGGTACTTATTGACCTAAAATCATCAAACTTTGTCAGTTGATGCATCTTGGGTTTTTGGAGAACGTCGACCAAAAAGTAAGTCACAGTGACCTACTTTTGACATTTTATGGCTATATTTATGTATCTCAGGCACTTATTGGCTAAGAATCATCAAACTTTGTCAGTTGAGGCATCTTGGGTTTTTGGAGAATGTCGACCAAAAAATAGGTCACAGTGACCTACTTTTGAATATCTCAGGTATGTATAAGCTTAGAACCATCAAACTTTGTCAGTTTAGGCACCTTGGGTTTTCGGAGAACGTCGACCAAAAAGTAGGTCACTGTGACCTACTTTTGACATTTTATGGCTATATTTAATTATATCTGGTACTTATTGGCTCTGAATTATCAAACTTTGTCAGTTGAGGCATCTTAGGGTTTCAATGAATGTCCAACAAGAAGTAGGTCACGGTGACCTAATTTTGAATATCTCAGGTACTTATTGGCTTAGAATCATCAAATTTTGTCAATTTAGGCATTATGGGTTTTTGAATAACGTCAACGAAAAAGTAGGTCACCGTGACCTGCTTTTGACATTTGATGGCTATATTTAATTATCTCTGGTACTAATTGGCTTAGAATCGTCAAACTTTGTCAGATAATGCATCTTGGGTTTTCAGAGAATGTTGACCAAAAAGTAGGTCATGATGACCTACTTTTGAATATCTCAGGTACTTATTTAATTAGAATCATCAGTCTTTGTCAATTAATGTATCTTGAGTCCTCAGAAAATTTCAATCAAAAGGTAGGTCACTGTGACCTTGTATTTTATAATTATATTATATCTTCAGTCTTAACTGGCTAAATATTATCAAACTTTGTAAGTTGATGCATTTTGGGTCTTATGATTCTAACAGAGTTGGAGGCTTCTAATAGAAGTGATAGATTGTACAATTTATCAGAAGAGCGATTCAAGGCCCTTGGGCCTCTTGTTTCTTACATCAAATGAATGAAAATTAAATTATAAGCAATGAATATAATAGCTACCCATTTTATACGGTATAAACTGGGTTGGAACAGTTTACGCTTTTTTATAAACCGCTTCATTCCTTAAATAAAGAAAAAAAACACAGTATGGTATGTGTATTTGCATTTTAACTTCGACATATTTCATTTAACAAAATCTGGAATAACACTAATACATGTATGTTGAAGTGATTTGCGAGTCTTAACCTCTCTTATAATGTATTTGTTTTACCCCAGATACTGTAAACCAAGTATTATTCACTTCATCTTTTATTCGCGATTTGTCAGTTTGAAATCTATCCGCGATGATTATTTTTTGCTACCGAGGAAACATTCTCTACATGCAAATACATTTAGCAAAATATTTGGTTCGCGAGTTAAAGAACGTATTTTAACTCGCAAATATTTCTCTCACTCAAATAAAAGTTAGTTTACAGTATCTATATAGATCTGTGGTATCCTGTATTTTGTAAGTCGTTACTTTGTCCCATTGAGTTTCAGTTTTGAGTATTTACTGTATTCTAAATTTAAATTAATCTCCGTTTTAGGTGAATCTGGCGCAGGCAAGACGGAAGCCTCTAAAATCATTATGAGGTACATCGCTGCCGTAACCAACGTGGGGGGACAGAAGGAAGTGGAAAGGTAAACGGCAAATTGTCAGTCATCATGACTTAGCAAATTGTCAGTCCTCATGACCTTGTCCATGTTGTCTGAATAATAAGCACTTGAACATGTTGAAGACATTGTGTTTGTCTCAGAGAGTGTTTGCTGTTAATTTTTTTGCATTATTTGCTTATACCTAGCATCATAGATAATGTATGATTTTCCACACTTTATGATAATCTGGATTTTTAGTGCTTTTAGAAAGTATATTTTTATACCCTCCGCAAACAAAGTTTGGGGGGGTATATAGGAATCACCTTGTCCGTCTGTCCGTCCGTCTGTCTGTCTAGCTGTCCGTCTGTCTGTCTGTCCGTCTGTTCATCTGTCTGTGCAAACGTGTCCGGTCCATATCTTTTTTACGGAGGGACATAAGAATCTACTACTCCACACAAAGGTTGCCCATGACCTAAGGGTGTGACCCAAGGTCATTTGGGGAAGTTCAAGGTCACTGGAAGAAAAAGTTCATAATTCGTGTCTCAGGTCAATATCTTTCTTACGGATAAACTTGGTAGGTTCTCATTTCACACAAAGCTTGCCCATGACCCAAGGCTGTGTCATGACCTTGACTCAAGGTCATTTTGGGAACTTCAAGGTCACTGGAAGAAAAATTTCATAATTCATGTCCAGTCTACATCTTTCTTATGGATAAACTTGGTAGGTTCTCATTTCATGCAAAGATTGCCCATGTCCCAAGGGTGTGTCGTGACCTTGAACCAAGGTCATTTGGGGAAGTTCAAGGTCACTGGAAGAAAAAGTTCATAATTTGTGTCCGGTCCATATCTTTCTTATGGATAGACTTGGTAGGTTCTCATTTCACCCAAAGATTGCCCATACCTAAGGGTGTGTCATGACCTTGAACCAAGGTCATTTGGAGAAGTTCAAGGTCACTGGAAGTAAAATTCATAATTTGTGTCCGGTCCATATCTTTCTTTTGGATAAACTTGGTAGGTTCTCATTCTACACAAAGAATGCCCATGACCCAAGGGTTTGTCATGACCTTGATTCAAGGTCATTTGGGGAAGTTCAAGGTCACTGGAAGAAAAAGTTCATAATTCATATCCGGTCCATATCTTTCTTATTGATAAACTTGGTAGGTTCTCATTTCACACAAAGATTGCCCATGACCCAAGGGTGTGTCATGACCTTGACCAAAAGTCATTTGGGGAACTTCAAGGTCACTGGAAGAAAAATTTCATAATTCATGTGTGATTCATATCTTTATTATGGAAAAACTTACCTCTGAAAAACCGGGGGGGGGGGGGGGGGGGGGTATTTTGTTCCATTTGGACAGTTCTAGTTAGCTCTACTGGTCAGAGACCAGAAGAGCTTATGCGATAGTAATGCGTCCGGCGTCCGTCCGTCTAGCTGTCTGTCTGTAAACAATTTTTCAAAATGCTACTTCTCCTACAGTTTTGGCCTGATTTCAATATAACTTGGCACACAAGTAGACTACACTAAGATACATAATTCTCTTTATTGGTTTTTGATTTCAATGAACGATGTTGCCGTGGTTACTAAAAATAGAAATTTCTGTGAAATTCTTTCAAAATGCTACTCCTCCTACAGTCTTGGTCTGATTTCAATTTAACTTGGTACACAAGTAGACTAAATTAGGATACATAATTCTGTATATCGGTTTTTGATTTCAATGAACCGTGTTGCCCTGGTTACTAAAAATAGAAATTTCTGTGAAATTCTTTCAAAATGCTACGTCTCCTACAGTTTTGGTCTGATTTCAATATAACTTGGTACACAAGTAGACTACACTAGGATACATAATTCTATATATCGGTTTTTGATTTTGATGATCGTTGTTGCGGTGGTTAGGCCAGCATTTTTTTATTTTTAAGTTTACAAACCCGCCGCTCAAGTTTTTGAATTTTCAGAAAAAAAAATAAAATTGAGAAAAACAGAATTTTTTCTTTCCGATGTCAAATTTGAGTCGGGATCGAGATTTCAAATTTACGAACTCGTACTTCAGGTTTTACGAGAAACATGGCGGATAAATAAAGGTAATAGATCTGCAAAATCCATAGCAGCACCATAGCTTGGTTTAGTATAAAAATTTATTGATAGGAATGCCAATGAAAACGTTTCACCCCTTCAGAGGACAAATAAAATGCTGACGACTTTGTTGCACAATGACATACTGGTGAGATAATTTTGTATTCATATTCAAAAGTATCTACACTCTACGGGTCTGTAAATTATTTTCCTCCCACATGTTTAAAACAGCCAGTGGTAGCTATTGCCAAAGACATTGTTTAGGTCTCTGTTATAGCTAAGCATAATTCTTCAGAAAAGGATTGCTTAATGCATCTGATGTAATGAATAAAACTATATGGGAGAAGACAAAGATAAGTACATTTTAGGAAGAATTAACCGTAGCCTAAAGAAATGAAATATATCAATTATTAAAAAAACAAGTTTATACAAATACATGCATATACAGGCATGTAGTATCGTTTTGAATGTGGCAGCCAGAAAAATTATTTTACACTTAACTGAAAAAAATTTTCCACTTCACTCCCCAAGACTCCCTGTCTGTTTTATGATTGATAGGAATTATTATTTTAGGTCTCAAGTATATTTTAGAATAATTTCTACACATTCGCCTAACATATATATATTGAAAGAGTTAAAAAAAATGATTTTTTTTAAATTTGTATTTTGACCAACTTCACAAAATTTATATCACTGCATGACCCAAACTGGCAGAAGATGAAATAAACACTTAAAGGTTCTACCTTCCTATTTGTAACTATTTTGTGTCCAGTGGCAAGGAGCCTATGAGGAGAGCATTGAAAAAGAAGCAAAATGAATGTACAAAAGTCGACAATTTATCAAAAAAAATAATTTTTTTTTTTTTATTTCCTCCTCCTACGGGACTTTTTCATTTTGATGTTCGTAAACCTAAAAATAAAAAAATGCTGGCCTTAGGCCATATAAAATTAATCTTTAGATTCTCATCCCCGCCCGCCCCTCTCAAAATGTCCCGCCCCGATGTTTTTTATTTTGATTTTTGGGTATTTTCATGTATTTTTATTCAGTAAGAATTTGGGTCAAAGTTAAATGAGTTATCTCCCGTCTGTATTAAAAGTCGCGTGTCGCTATTTATAGCAAAAACGCCATGTGAAGAATGGAGAAAAATCGGCAATATAAGCAGTTTAAATGTGTAAGGAAAAGATAATTTGTCAGTATAGAGAAGGCAGAGAAGAAAAAATAGCATAAACACATAAAGATACCATCACTGGCAGGAGCAAGTACATGTATGTAGAGAGATTGTAACCAAGTAAAAATAGACGAGGAAAATGACACCTGGTCAAGTTATATATAACGATCTCCAGCTGTGTGACTTAGCTTTGAAATAAAAAAAAATCTACAATATCGTAAACAGACTTAAGAGAAGGCCTAGATTTTTCAGTAGAATAATTATTAGAACATTTATATAGATTTTGCAAAATAAGAAGTCAGGCATACACAATTTATTGGTATCTACACCTCATTTTGTTCAGGGTGTGCTGTATAATATGTGTACTTGATAATTTGTTAATTAACAATAAATATTTAACTTTTAAAGCAAAAATTTTCTTTAAATATTTAAAAGAATATGAATTAAAAGAATTATATCTATTCATATTTGCATTAAGGTAATGAAAAAAAATGTGTACGGGGCGTCCATTGTTTTGTTGATACTTAAATTAGGCCTATATATAAATTAACAATTATAAAAAATAAAATCCGCCCACCCGCCCCAATTTTTTTGCAAATTAGGATGAGAATCTAAAGATTAATTTTACCTGGCCTTATTAAAAATAGAAATTTCTGTGAAATTCTTTCAAAATGCTACGTCTCCTACAGTTTTGGTCTGATTTCAATATAACTTGGTACACAAGTAGACTACACTAGGATACATAATTCTATATATCGGTTTTTGATTTTGATGATCGTTGTTGCGGTGGTTACTAAAAATAGAAATTTCTGTTAAATACTCTCAAAATGCTACTCCAAATACAGTTTTAGTCTGCTTAAAATATAATGTGGCATGCAAGTAGACTACACTAAGACCATAAAGAGACTTAATCAAGGATCGCTATTTTATTTATTACTGTTGTAAAGTTTCAATTCCCAACTGCTTAAGGTCTTTTCTCTTCCTTTGCTATATGTACAAACCAGTAGAGCTTCAGTCTCCACAGAGAGTTCTGGTTTAAGTAGAGGAATTCTAGGTAACCGATAAATACAGTCATTGAAAAAATGCTTTGAATTAAGTGGATATATATTCTGATTTTCAATCAAAATGATCAACTGCCAATTCATGAACTTCTTCATAATTATACCCCTGCAAACGAAGTTTAGGGGGGTATATTGGAATCACCATGTCCGTCTGTCTGTAGACAAGATTTTGTCCGGACCGTTTCTCAGAAACTATTGAATGGATTTGTCTGAAAATTTATACACTTATTATTCACCATATGAAGGTGTGCACCTGGGATTTTCATCATGATTGGATGATTTTTCTGCATTTTACAGGCATTTTTTTTTTCTTTTGTGATTTCGTTTGGCTCATAACTAGAAAACTATCAGACTTACAATCATCAAACTTGGACAATTTATGCATCTTGGGTAGACTGTGTGTCACGACCTATTTCAAGGTCACTGTGACCTTTAATTTAAGTGATTTTTTAAAAAAAAAACAGTCTTTAAAATTTTATAATTCATAATCCTAAAAAATGTTAAAATATAGTTGTATCCTTATTAAAAACTGCTAAATGAAGTAAAAACTTATTTTTTCATCATATACTTTACAGCAGATTCTGTAACAAATGTTAATGATTTGAGAGGAATTCAGTTTGTCCAATGGGCATAATTATTAAGCACTGGTCAAGGAGAATTTTTGATAGCAGAAATGTGCATGTCAAATTAGAGAGAATTAATGAGTTCATTGTCTGGGAGTTAACTGGCAAGAGCATCTCTAGATCTGATATGATGCAATGTTATCTTAATTTATCTCTTGGGAGTTGGGTAAAAAGAAATGGCCTTATAGTTGCTTGTGTTAATTAAGAGTTCTTGATGGCTGTAGTTCAGATAAAGATCTTTCAATTGGTGTAATGTAATTAAAACTAATTGATGTTTTAGTGTATGATTGAAACTGAATTAGTATTGTATAATATAATTAAAATTAATTATACATGTGCTCATTGAAAAAAAAAAATTACATTTCAATTTTTATATATTTGCAACAAATTGCAGTCATGTCTCACTTAGAATTTTATAGTCTAAAGAATAATTAATTTTTGATTTTTTTATTAGACTGTAGCATTTCCATTATTTCATAAAATATGCAATAAACAATTTAAAGCTGCAGATGGATATTTGTTAAGCTCTAACACAGCCAGTTTAATTAGAATTATATATGATGTATTATTTGTTTTAATTAATCCCTACACTGTAAGTCTTTTAGAGATGTATGTACAATATTTTAAACATAATAAGAAATGGAAATTAGATCATTGAAATCTGTGTCAATCTGTTAATCAAGGTTACTTGATTTTCTTGCACCCTAACCAATTTATGATTATTGAACAATATTTGATGGGCGTATCATGCTGTGGCGGGGCACTTTATTAGACAATACTGAACACCTCTTACTAGATCCATAAAATATTTCTGAATTGGCACCTACTCTGAAAAACCCAGCGGGGGTATTTGTCCCTATTGGACAGTTCTAGTTTTTATTGAAATGAATTTGCTGCTGTTAAACGTAGGATGCGCTGAAGAAGTTTTTGCACAATAAATATATTTTAACTAATTAATTGTAAAGTATTGAATTTGTTTACATGATTTTTAATGATTAATGGGTGATTTTACAGTCGAAGTGAGATAGAGAGGTTGAGTACAGAATATCGCTTTAGATCTCCGCATGCCAACGTTTAAACATAATTCTCTTGCACTGCAGGGACCTAACACTGCAGTTCTCGTTATTCCGTAACTTTCTTCTGTAAATTTTAAATTGAAGTTTATTTCAGACTCTCTCACCTTGTCTCAAGTATTTCCTAAGCAAAATTTTTATAATGATGGCATAAAGCAGGCAATTCAAATTCACTTCTTATTTTAGGAACAATTTATTAATCTTTTAATTAACCAAAATTGCATGCACTTTGCATAAAGAATGAACTAGCTTCCTTTCATCTTGATATCTGATTTTACAATGCACAGATTTCAAGGAGGGGTGGGGGGATTCACACATTGCACATGTTGAAATTTACTGATCTACATTATGTATACATGTACTTGTTGGTTTGCTAAACTTCTCTTGACTTATAGTCTTGCTTGCAGAACAAATAATTTAGTAAAGATGAACAGCTACTGTACATTGACTTATAATAAAGTTATTTATGATCAGCATGTGTGTACACTTTCTTTAGATTTTATGTTATCATGCATCAATTGTCTACTTAAAACACTGCAGCTGTTTTCTTCTTAACTTAAAATTTGTATTTCAATTATTGATAAATAAAGATCAGTATCAACATGATGAATAATAACTTATAATAATTAAGAGAAAAAAATCCATTTCATGTCAGTTCATGTCAATATTTGTGTGCCATTTTCATGCTTATTTGCTAATTAATAAATTAAATGAATAAAAATTTTGCTTTTCATTTATCATATCTTTTACATGTACATTAATGTGCAATATTTGAAAAGCAAACTAAAGAATCTGGTGCATATTTTGATGCATACCCCAAAATTCCTGCATATTTACATTATTGAAAAATAATATAAAAATTCTTATGATTTGCAATTACTAGTTATTGTCTAATGCTTTTCTTGATGCTTAAAATTTAACACTTTGTATATGTAAAATACAATAAAGTTATATATTTTCTGTATTGTACATGTAAAATAATTAAATACTCAAACAGTGTATGAGTTGTAGATGTCACACCTATGGTATCAAAACATCTTTGATTCAGTAAATACAAATGTTATATATTTCATCAGTTTAAATATGTCAATAATATGAATAATACTGCTTTAAATTAACAGAGTTAAAGACGTCTTAGTCAAGTCCAATGTCATCTTGGAGGCTTTTGGGAATGCCAAGACAAACAGGAACGATAACTCCAGTCGCTTTGGGAAGTACATGGACATCAACTTTGACTTCAAAGGGGATCCCATAGGGGGGCATATCAATAACTACTTATTAGAAAAAGTACGTATTACCTGCAATATTATAGCTCTTATTGTCTTTTTTTCATCTGGCTTCGGGGCCATAAAACAGAGATGAGCTCACTTTTGATCTTATATCTTACTTTTCCACTATTAATCCCTTTTGTGAAAGTAAGACAGAGATCAAAAGTGGGCTCGTCTAAGTTTTTATGGCCCCAGCCAGGCCGGATGTTTCTCTCCAAGAAAAAAAAAGAGAGGGGTACATTATTGCATAATTATATACAAGTGTAATATTTTCTCTAGAAGACAAAATTTCGTATTTTCAGTCTCGTGTAGTACATCAGCAGGCGGGAGAGAGAAATTTCCACTCGTTTTACCAGCTACTGTACGGAGCCAAGGACGAGAAATTAAAGGAGTACAAGTTAGCACGGGAACCTCAAAAATACTTCTATGTCAACCAGGGAGGGGATCCAAAGGTGCGTATTGATTTCAAATAAGTGAAATACGAGATCTTAAAGGGTGTTCATATTTATTTGTTCACATTTACAAGGACACATTTAGAAATTTTTGAAAAATTTTAGATGGAAATTAGGGGTGTTATTTTTATGCCCCCCTTCGAAGAAGGGAGGACATATTGCTTTGCTGCATGCTGTCTGTCGGTCGGTCGGTCTGTCAGTCCACTTAGTTTCCATTCATTTTTTATCACAAACGTTGCACATACTGAAATGAAATTTGGTATACAGATATATCGGATAAATATCTAGGTCAAGTTCTGTTTTGGGTACGGCCCCGCCATTTTTGACAGAGTTATGCCCCATGGACTTAGAAAAATTCCAATTATTTGCAGTTTCCGTTCATTTTCTTTGCAGAGGTTGCACATACTGAAATGAAATTAGTATACAGATATATCTGATGAATATCTAGGTCAAGTTCTGTTTTGGGTACGATCGTGCCATTTTTGACAGATTTATGCCCTTTTGGACTTTGAAAAATTCCAATTTGGGGGAGGGGGCATATATTAAGTGTTTTACAAACATCTCTTGTTGCTATACATGTATTGTCTAAAAGGACTTAAACTTTGAAGAAAAAGTAAAATTATTATCCTTTAATAATGAAAAATTTGATAATTTGTTGAAAATTTATTCATGGTTTCTTTTTATTTGCATTTTTAGTTTTTTTTTGACACAAACTGAGATTGTTCTTTAATTAAGAGTAATATACAGTAAAACTCGGTTATAACGAAGTCACTGGGACCTATGAAATTACTTCGCTATATCCGTAATTCGTTATAACCGTATAAGAAATTTATTGAATTTATATAGCTGGGGATCCAAGATGACTTCGCTATATACGTAAATTCGCAATATCAGTGTACGTACTAACCGAGTTTTGCTGTATGTTGTCATAATTAATTGATAAAATTCTAAGAAGCATTAATTTTAATAGGGAGTTAAATTAACTGAAGAGGTAAACATGCCCCATTTCCCTCACTTGTGTAAAATGAAATTACCGATTAAAGGAATTGGATGTTTATGTTTTATACATTTCAATTATTTTGGGTCGATCAGTTTTGTAAAATTAACATTTTTTTCTTCATTCTTATGTTAATTCAAGTGTACTATTTATACATATTTTATTTTCCTAGAAATATATTACAGTACAAGATAAACATCCAATTTCCTTGTAAAAAAACATTCCTGAAAAAAAAAAATTGAAGTGTTGTATAAATTTGATGTGTTTTGTACAATTTCCCAGACAGCGTGGATTTGGATGGCCCTTTCTTTTTCCTCTATTGTTTTCTTCTGTTATTTCCTCTTACTGTAAATTTCCCTGTGTGAAGATGTTATAATCAACTGTTCCTTCTTAATTTTATTCTGTCAATCCAAAACAATTACAAAACAAAAGTTATTAATTGAAACGTGTGCATTACAAAATTGCAGAAAGGATTGTTTGAATATTAAATAAGACTGTTATCATATTCGAATGACATCACTGTGAACATTAGTACCTTTGAATAGTTCAAAAACTGCTAATTGAGTTAAACAAAATAATATAATCTATGTAATGAATCAAAGAATTCCTTTTTACATGTATAAGCATAACATATACATATCCATGGTGGTCAATTTTTAAAATAAATTCTCATACATTCACTGGTACACGTAAGGCAGGACAAATTCAGCTCATAAGTTTTCTTATTATGAGTTTTCAATTATATTTTGTGTATTAATTAGTTTAAAATTTGATTATTTTCATTTATGTTGTTTTTTCACACATTATTTAGATTGAAAAAGTAAGTATCACTATGTGGGAAACATGATTTAAAAAACATACATGTAGAGGCACAATAATGTTTGATGCAATATACATAATAATCATACAGTCATGTACTTATGGTATTGTGTCATTTATAATATGTATGTGTTGACAGCTGTTCATAATCTTAGAGAAACTATAACCTCTAGTGTTGAACAAATACTATACATTTGTGTGTAAGCATGCAAGTTTAAGACGTATAGATACAAGTACCGTAAATCTGGAAATTTTTACGTCGATTTTATTTTGCGAATTCAGGTCAAAATGGTGTTGATTAATTTTTACGTTTCAAAATTTTGCGAATTACCACTGCTTTGTTTACATTTTCTTATTTGTATTTTATTTTTAAGAAAAATATTTTTGCGAATACAAAGAACTCGCAAATTTGCTAAAAATTTATCTACAGCAAAAATTTCCAGATTTACGGTATGTATTGAGATACAAAGGAAAATATTGTAATAAATATATTCATGTATTATGTTTAGAAAATAGTACATCATATGATTATCAAAAATATTTTTATGATAATTCATGTATACAGAAAATACTGTAATATATTTAATATTTATATACATTTACATAAATTTACATACTGTATGAGTGATATACAGGTGAAGTGAAATGTCAAGTTATCACTCTCCTAACTTTACTGCCACCCTGTATCTCTAATCCAATATTATATTTCTAGTAGGAGATAAATGGATAATTGTCTCCATAAAAAGTTGAAAATCAACCATATCATAACTATTCCCTTTACACATTGTATATGATATACAAATATTTTATCTCCAAATTAAATTAGGAAAGAAAATGTCCCCACATAAATGTTTGTCCTGAATTTACAGAGTGCAGTCAGTGGACAAATAACTAAACAAAAAAATAGACAGATGCTAGAGTTGTTTATTAAAAAAAAAAAATAGAGAATTTTGTTTGTGAAACAAATACATATACTAACAGCATTGTTTGCTGTTTTGTGTAAATGGTGCTGTCAGATTTGCAGAGTTTTTTTCTACAGTAACTGTTTATAAAAATAAAATTTAAGTGCTTTGTGTTTGTTGCATGAGTACATGCTGTATTGTTGGTCTGCCAAAAAAATGAAAAATATATGAAAAATCAGTAATATTTATATATCCATGATCTTATATAATTTGTACAATCGTAACCAGTATGTAAGTAAAATAAATGCTGATTTCTTTTACAACTCATTGTTATTTTATATTGTCAACCAAAAAAAATGAAAAATTGAAGAACATATGAGTACTAATTAATGTGTAACGTTTGATTATTGTTGCTTTATTTCAGTGTGCAACGGTGCATGACAGGGATGATTATAGGTCAGTAATGAACGCCCTGAAGGTCATGGGGTTCTCTTACGCTCATGCTGAGGCACTGTGGAAAGTTGTGGCTGCCATTCTCCATCTGGTAAATTAACTGTGTTTACTTTCAAGAGTTTTTAGCTTACCCGAGCCCTAAGCTCAAGCAAGTTACTTTGATGAAAGTCTATCATGTTTTCATCTCTTATAAATAATCTGTTTCCCTTTCATATTTTCAACTTTTCTTCAAGATTCACAAAATTATTTCAACCAAATTAGTCACAAAGAAAGTGTAAAAGAAAAGTTGGAATTTATGTATTTTCATTTTCACAGGGAAATCTAGATTATGTCTCGGTGGACGACCATGATCATGCAGGTGTGTCTGATGAAACGTTGCTAGGCAACATTGCTGGGTTGTTATCGGTAACCACTGAAAATCTTAGGAAAGCCCTCTGTTTCCGGGTCATCGCAGCTGGAGGTCAAGTGGTCGAAAAACAGCTGTCCACGTCTGATGCCGTTTATGCCAGGGATGCTTTTGCCAAGGTACAGTATAATTAGGCAGAAAAATACTGTACAGAGAGGTCTAATAAAAACATAGATTCAGAAGAAAGAATTTTCATTGATTTATGATTGATGACAAAACTTATCTACATTCATATGATGAAACTGTTTCTATACATACTTGAATACTCTTTGTTCTAATCGTGTTATAAGCGGAATTTTTAGCGAGGATTTAATTTTGGCATTATTAGCGAGGGTGCCAAGATCGCTAAAATTTGATATTGCTAAATATTAATTGCGCTTTATTTGTAATAGCTTCTTGAGTGAGCTTTTTAAAATCGCTACAATTACATCTAGCTAAAGATAAAATACAAATTGCTAAATTTGCGTCTCTCTAAAATTTCCACTTATAGTGTGGTATTGTATGGAAAAATTTGCAAATTTAAGTATGAGAGAATATACATGTATATAACAAATCTTCAACCGTTTCTTTTCAAAAATGATAATTCATTAAAATTTTACAGGCTATGTATGACAGAATGTTTACGTGGATCGTCAGTAAAATTAATGAGGCTATCGATCCTAAGGCCAGTGGGATTTCTTATGTGGGGAAAAACACAGTCATAGGAGTGCTGGACATCTACGGATTTGAAATTTTTGACAACAACAGGTGCTCTTTCTGATTTTGAAATTGATTATGTATCATTAAGATCATTACAGTCTATCAGTTTATAATATCTTATATCATAATTATTAAAGGAAAAAGACCTCCCTTTTGAGTAATCTAAAATAAGAAAGCATAACGTGTATTTAAAAATGACAGATACATTTTGAATTAAAAAAACGATGATGTTAATTTTGTGCTGTTAAACTGTGTACAAAAGTTTGCTTGAAATAATTTATTCAGCAATTGAATTTAACAATTGAAAGTAATAAAATTAGTTTTTGGTTGTGGATAGAGAATTAAACACTTAATGGAAAAAATATGAGTCAGATGTTCATTATTTGATTTTTAAAAATGTCCTTAAATCCTTAAATAACCATAATTTTTTCTAATTCTCTTCAGTTTTGAACAGCTGTGTATCAACTACTGCAACGAGAAGCTGCAGCAGTTATTTATAGAACTGGTTCTAAAACAGGAGCAGGAGGAGTACCAGAGGGAGGGAATAGAATGGCAGCACATCGAGTACTTCAACAACAAGATCATCGTGGACCTGATAGAGGCCCCACATAAAGGGATACTGGCCATACTCGACGAAGCGTGCCTCAGCGTAGGAAAGGTCACGGACGAGGTCAGATATGCTTCTGGTCCAATCAGAATAAAGGAAATTTTCAAAAATAAATTGACTGTTCAGAATTTAAAAGAGAGATAATTTCTTCATTTTAAATTTTAAGAAGAATGTTGATTCAAAAAAAAGAGAAGGAATTTATTATCTCATAATTTTACGGAAGCAAAAATTAATTACTTGAAGAAAAAACTTATAAGCAGCCTACTTGCAAATCTATCGCAAAATAATAAGAAATAAATAAGGAATCTATTGTATTGTGAACTCTTTTAATTGCATTCTTTGTCTCTTTGTAGATGTTTTTAACAGCCATGGCTCAGAAACTGGGGAAGCATGACCACTTTACCTGTAGATCTGTAAGTAGTGTTTATAACTAATTTTTCACCTTTTGCCTGAGGTGAGAAATACCATTAAAAAAAACAACATAAATACATTTTTGAGCATAAATTGTTATGAGTTGTCTGGAAATCCATGTTTAAAAAAAGGAAAAAACTTCAAAATATAATGTAAAACACTACAAGTTTTAATTATGTAAAATATGTTTTGTGTAAAAATTGTCATAAAAGAAAATGCAAGTTATATACATTGTAAAATTCCATGAAAAATTTTTTTTTTAATCAGATTTTCAATTTTCCTTCACTGTGAAATGTAAAATCTATCCAATGTTTATCATCAAATTTTTTTATATGGCTTGATGTATTATTCTGTTTTAGCTTAATCCTGCAGACAAGACACTGGAACATTCCCGCGACTTCCGAATAAAACATTACGCGGGTCAGGTGACATACCAGGTGCCAGGATTCATTGATAAAAACAGAGACAGTCTATTCCAGGATTTCAAAAGACTTCTTTATAACAGGCAAGTTAGTCATTGTCATAAAGCTTGGATTCAACAATGCCAGCTCTGGTGATGCTGCTTAAATGTCTTGGTTGTCACATAAATTTAACTTGGCTGCCTTTGGGATGCAGCTGGTATTTTGTTAACTTGTTAAATAAAAAAAAAAAAAAAAAATGAAAATTGTCAACTGTTTAAACTGAGTAATAAGTTGGTCAACATTGCTAAAGCAAAGACATTTGTAATACCCAACAACATTTTTAATTATCATTCATTCACGAATCAATTATCCCCTCAGTTACACTGTAATTACATTAGATTAGAGGTAAATGAGTTGTACTTATAACTTCAGATAAACATAATATTTTCCACAA